GTTGCACTCTCAAGTGACAGACTGAACAGTCTGGAAGGCGGGTCAATCAAGACCATCGCTAGAGGCTTCATAATCGCTGGGTGGATGCCGTCCGACCCTGCAGACTTGTGCCTTTTCAATCCCCTCAGCACAAGCTGTATTTCCTTCGGGTGAAAGAGCGGCTCTGCTATCACCGGGGCCCGGGTAGTTTGGAGGACTGGTGTGGATCCTCCATCCGCGTGATGCACCCTCTCAAAAAACCTTTTAAGGATTTCAGCCTTCTCCGTGTCACTCCCAGCATGCTGCCCGTTTTTGTCTCTCGCACAACCTACTGCTGACCTCAGGGCATCCTTCGACTGGACGTAGTTGTAGTACGCCTTTGGGCATGCCTTTGCCTTAAGTGTGAGACACTTTTCAACCTCAACTGACATGCTCGCTGAACCCGTAGCGCAGCTTCAGCAGCCCTTCTGTATTGTAAAAGCCTTATATGGCCTCCTGTCCCTCTGAAACGTGCCCATGCAGCATGTTTCCGTCGCTGGGCCTTACCCACTTCACTCGTCCACCACGGGGGTCTTCCTTGCCTTCTGATTTTCCGCAATGGAGCAAATTCTTGCACAAGATCAGTAAGGTTGCCCCTTATAACTCCCCACAGTTCCCCAACTGTGTTTATGCTTTCTCCCCAGCTTGAGGTAGCGGCCCTATCTAGCAACCCTTGAGCGTTCATTCTTTTAAAGGACCGTCGTGTCTTATCCGGTGGGTTGTCTGGCGTAGATGGTGCTCTCAGTACCAGGTTTCTTACATTGTTTGGGCACTTGGTTATGACCAAGTCAAGCAGACCTGTTGTGCATCCGGCCCTCCATCTCGTGGGCTATAGTACATGCTGGATTAGGTCTCGCTCCCGTAGAAATCAAGTGAGCCCCGAAGGATGTTGGGGGGGCCATTTGTCCTGCCAGTTTACCTCTGGTGCGTTAAAGTCCCCCATTATTACTATTTTATTCGGTGCTTCGCCTACTGTTTTCAGTAGATCTAGCAAGCCAGCGTCTTCCTCCACGCTCGTTGATGGGCTTCTGTATACAAACAAAGTTGACCCGCCCGCTCCCACTTCTGACCTTGCACGAGACAGTTTGGATACAGGGAGAGTTTAGTGTGATTCCAACCCGCTGCTCGAGGTACTTTGCCATTAGTAGCAGGACTCCCCCTCCTGTTCTCCCATCTCTGTCAGTTCTATAGGTACAAAAGTCTTCCAAAAAGTACTTGCTGATACTCTCTTCTGGCTTCAACCATGTCTCTGTAATGGTCACGCAATGAACACCCAAGGCCTCTGCTTTTAGCTCCGCCCATTTGTTACTGATGCTACACGCATTGGTAAGGAGAACTTCAAAACTGTCTCTAGCCAGCAGTTTCATGTTTGCCTTAGGGCACTGGTGGCTTGTGTCGTCATCTGGGATTTGTTTTCTGAGATTTGCTGATAGGTTTCTCACTTTTTTCTTATTTTTAATTTTTCATTCCCTTTTGATCTCAACGGATCTTCACTTGCCGCTACCGTTGGCGCTTTCTAGCTGCTTATGTTACCTCTGATTCTACTTCCTTCCTACTCATGTCTATCTCAACGTGCTGGACAATTCAATGGAAACAAGACAAATCTTAAAGAGATCAGGAAAAACAGAGGAAATCCCAATCCCAAAAAGGACAGCAGCAAAGTGAATCGGCAACCTACAGGTTCTCAGATGGGTGCTCCGCCTGATGATTTCAATGCAGCTATCTCTCGACTCGAGAAACAAGAAGTAAGAATTGAGAACTTGGCTCGCCGCATACAAAAGTAACTCAGAGAGATCCAGAAGCTCCACGCGTCCTACGAGACCACCTTAGACAGGACGCGCAACGTGATAATTTACGCTCTAGAGCCAGTTATCAGCAACACCGCTCAACGGATCGCCGCAGAGAAAACACTCATTCTGAGTGTGCTGCGCAACGCCGGTTGTCACCCAAAAATGACTTGGAAACGAGCACACAGGCTGGGAAAATTGGTCTCACCAAAACAGGATGGCCTCCCTATCAGTCGACCTCTGCTCGTGGAACTCCACAGTTGCAAAAGAACGAGACTTTCTCCTATCTAAGGCGTCAGTCATCGTTAGCACAATGACCAATATCAAAATCGGGGCAGACAACCGCACTCGTAAAGCGGTCATCTCGGGTCCTCACTACACCCTGGACGCCCCGGTAGTAACCTCCGAGAAAATCCCACAACTGCAAGGAACCCGTCCCCTGGACCACATTCCAAAAAATGGAGAATCCCCTACGAGGAAATCGAAATCAGTGACTGGGGCCGCAATTTTCAGCATTACCGCTCCGACCGTATTAGCTCACTTGGTGGAGGTTGCTTGCTACTAGTGCGGCAAGTGATCCGTCAGTCAGCGATGCACTTCATGGATAGCTCAAGAAACATTCAATCAGCAGCCTGCATTCTGCACATGAATCCCCCCATCATGGCCGTTGGGATCTATCGCAGCCCAAGCTCGTCACAACAAGAAGATGAGGAACTTCTTCAGGCCTTGCGTGGAACTGCTAGATCAGGATATTGGCTCTTGAATCTAGGTGATTTAAACGCGCCCACTGTCAACTGGGCACACCAATCATGTCGCGGAACTGGGTTTGATATGGCTCTGCTCAGCACCGCATCCGGTCTGACCCTGACGCAGCATGTGATGGTACCTACCAGGATAAGACCTGGACAAGTTCCCTCTACTCTTGACCTCGTTCTAATGAGGAACAGCAATGAAGTCGCAGGAATAAGGACCGGAGGTTCTTTAGGCAAAAGCGACTACTCACCGGTGTTCTTCAAATTTTACCGAGTAGAAACCCCGAAGCCCAAAACTGGAACCCGAAGATTCCACAACATCAACATTGATGACTTG